TACTTACCCGGTCCCCAGCCCCCGCTGACTTTCAGCCTGCTCCATGACTGCTTTCCTGCGTCCTCTTTTACATTCCACTCAGTCCCCAAACACTCCTGTCCCAGTATAAAGGTTATTGAGTATAGCTGTGAAGGAAACTATAAACAGCCCGGTTTAAAAAGACAACCTCTCATCTTAAAGAGAGAACAACCCTGACTCCACATTTCCCTCCACAGTCACCACCTTATTTTTCTGCTCCCCTTTTCAGTAAAACTCTGGAAAAAATTGCTTTTATTGGCTGTCTCAATTTCCTCTCCTCCCATTTCCTCTTGAAACTGCTGCATTCTGCCTTTCATCTCCATCTCTGCACCTAAACGCCTCTTGTCAAGGTCATGGATGTCACCCAGATTGCCCAGCCAGTATTTATATCACACTCTCTTATTTAATACATTTTCTTTACATGGTCGTGGCATAGAATTCTCTCTCCTACTCCTCCATCTTGGGAGCTTTTCTTGTCCTCTAATTTGCAGGTGTCTCCTGACCGATCCGATTTTTAAACAATGAACAGCTCCAAAGCCCAGTTCTCCATGCTTGTCCAATCTCTCATCACTCCCCAGGTGGTTTCCCCCTGCCATTTAAAAGAACATATTACACATGTTGTTATGGAACAAACTTCAAGATATATTGTTAAATGAAAATCCATGAAAGATGGCAAGTTGGATGAGTGCAGCAGTTTGCGGTGACTGATGACACAGGGGTGGAGAATTTGGCTTCTACTCTGAAAGGCTTGGGCACAAATAAGCCAGGAAGTCACACTAAAGAGCTGACTATGTTCATCCACCTCATTAGAACTGACTCAAATGTGTTCCTTTTTATGGCTGAGTAATGCATATTGAAAACCAGAGACATTACTTTGTCAACAAAGGTCCGTCTAGTCAAGGCTATGGTTTTTCCAGTAGTCATGTATGGATGTGAGAGTTGGACTATAAAGAAAGCTGAGTGCCAAAGAATTGATGCTTTTGAACTGTGGTGTTGGAGAAGACTCTTGAGAGTCCCTTGGACTGCAAGGAGATCCAACCAGTCCATCCGAAAGGAGATCAGTCCTGGGTGTTCATTGGAAGGACTGATGCTGAAGCTGAAACTCCAATACTTTGGCCACCTCATGCGAAGAGTTGACTCATTTGAAAAGACCCTGATGCTGGGAAAGATTGAGGTCAGGAGGAGAAGGGGATGACAGAGGATGAGATGGTTGGATGGCATCACCGACTCAATGGACATGGGTTTGGGTGGACTCCGAGAGTTGGTGGTGGACAGGGAGGCCTGGCATGCTGCAGTTCATGGGGTCGCAAAGAGTCGGACACGACTGAGCAACTGAACCAAATATTCCATTGTGTATATGTACCACAGAGCCTATTAAACAGAGTGAAGTAAGTCAAAAAGAGAAAGATAAATATCACATTCTAACATGTATATACGGAATCTACAGAAATGGTACTGAAGAATTTATTCACAGGGCAGCAATGGAGAAACAGACATAGAGAATAGACTTATGGACATGGGGAGAGGGGAGGAGAGGGTGGGATGTCTGGAAAGAGTAACATGGGAACTCACATCACCATGTGAAAAATAGAGAGCCAGTGGGAATTTGCTCTATGGCTCAGCAAACTCAAACAGGGGCTCTGTACCAATCTGGGGGGTGGGGGGGATGAGGAGGGAGATGGCAGGGAGGTTCAAAAGGGAGGGGATAGATGTATACCTATGGCTGATTCATGCTGAGGTTTGACAGAAAATAACAAAATTCTGTAAAGCAATTATCCTTCAATTAAAAAATAGATTTTTTTTAAAAAGAGCTAACAATGTAGTCCCTGAAAACTATAATGTTTCTACTCACTTAAATAGAAATTAAATTTAATTTAAAGTTAAAAAGATGAATCAGGTATACATCTTACCCTCCAGAAATGTATAGTTTGCTGCGTGTGGAGAGGGGATTGAAAAATAAATAGTTACAAAATAAGGAGCAAATGGTGTTGCCAGAGAAATGACAGTTGGGACTTATGGAAACTCAGATAAATAGAGCAGCTTTTAAAAGTTTGATGAAGCTGAATTAGTTTTGACTTCTTTATTACACACTTGCAAAATTAGCACATTTCCTAATTGCCTCTGTAATCAGGTTGAAATTTCTAAAGTTTTCTGTTGCTTGTTCATGCTCCCAATCTCATAATTGGAATGGAAAAGCCGTTTTCTTGGTCTATCTCACAGACCTCAAGAACCCAAGAAACACATATCTAAGGATAAATATTTGAAGAAAAAAACAATTTTATTTCATTAGATTTGAGAGAAAGGGGTCAAAATGGAGAGATTAACACATGGGACACTGGGAGAAATGTAGAGGGGTTGCCCCAAGAGGCTAGTAGATGGGTCAGCTGGGGTCTGAACCCAGGGCTGTCTGATTCCAGAACCCATACTCTTTCAGTATTACAGCCTGGTCTCAAACATAAATTCATATTTAAACATTATAAAAAGAGGAAAAGGTACCCATGGGTAAGAAAACATTTTATTTACAAAAAAGAGGGAGTTATTGATGGCACAAGTGCCCTAGGAGAACTAGAGAAACACAAGACATTCAGAAGTATGCACATCCATGGACTTCCCTGGTGGTCAGTGGTTAAGACTCCACACTCCCACTGCAGGGGACTTGGGTTTGATCCCTGGTCAGGGAGTCTAAGATCCCACATGCCATGTGGCTCAGCCAAAAGAAAAAATAGGTACATCCACAGTAACACTATAAAATGTTATGGAAACACAGAAAGAAGGAAGATACAGACTATCGAATAATTGCCCCATTTGATTGTTAGTGAAATTATCATCATTTCCTTTTATTTTCTGTATCTAAAATATAAATGTGCTCATTTCCTCTCTTCTTGGTTTTTGTGCTATAAGCAGGAGAAGGTAAATTTAGAGCTGAATCTTATCCAAGCTGGAGATTTAGATTCCTGTTCTCTGCCTTTCAACTCCCACTTCATCCAAAGACCTTCACCATCGCTCCTTACCTGCTCTTGCCCTCATCCTCTGCTAAAATCATTATGTCTGTTGGGTCTAATCCACATCAATCTTCAACCCTTCTTAAAACTTCTGAAACACCAGCTCTTCTTGGACCTAATGTCATTGAGTCAAATCAAAGGATTTGATTTTTCTTCTAACCAGTAGTCATCAGTTGTGAATATTCCTATGCAGATTTTGATTGACTTGTTGTCATGAGTATAAATTTATATTTAACTTTACAGCTATGTATTCAATAAATGTCACTATCTTATTGACTGCCCAGCTTAATGACAGCTATCCAGTAGACAGATGACAGATGGAGAGAAAAAGAGATAGATAGAGAACACAAATGTTAACCAAAAGTGAACACATCTTTTTAAATATAGACATCTCTGGGCTTGGTGATAATGCTGTTTCCTAGCTGATTTACTGTATTACTCTGAGAATAATTAGCCATAAACATCAAAGGACTGTTATATGTTTTTTTCTCTCTTTTCTCCAAAGAAAAGCACAGTGGGATATGTAAGATGTCAGAAATAATTAGACAAAATTGCACAATCCCATTGTGATACTAAAATATATCTGGAGTTGAATATTTGCTGTGAAACTTTAAAATCTGGTTTGAAAGATGCTTATTATAAACAGTATAATTTTTTTTCTTTAAAGGTAAAGGTCCCAGAATTTTTAAAGCATGGTATTATGTGAATATATGGTTGCAAGTGTGAAAAGACTTGTAAAGATTAATGAGAAAGTCATCTGGTGGCAAGATAGACTTAAAATTTGGTAATGTCGCCCTCAGAAGGAGTTTGGGAACTTAAAAAGTAGCATTTGAAAAATAATGTAGGGATGAAGTTTATTGGTGAGCATAACATAAAAGAAACAGACTCACAGATATAGAGAACGAACTAGTGGTTCCAGTGTGGAGAAGGAAGAAAGGAGGGGCAATATAGGGGTAGAGGATTAAGAGATACAAAACCGACTGTTGTATATAAGGTAAGCTACAAGGATGGGGGCTTCCCCGGCCATCCAGCGGTTAAGACTTCGCCTTCCGGTGTAGGGGGTGAGGGTTCGATGCCTGGTCAAGGAGGTAAGATCCCACATGATTTGTGGCCAGAAAACCAAAGCATACAACAGAAGCAATGTTGTAACAAATTCCATAGTTTAAATAAAAATGGCCCATCTTTTTAAAACTCCTTTTTAGAAAAGCTACAGGGGGCTTCCCGGTGGCTCAGCATTAAAAAAAAATCTACCTACCAGCTCAGGAGACACTGGTTCGATCCCTGGTCCAGGAAGATCCCACGTGCCACAGAGCCACTGAGGCCGTGAGCCTCAGCTGCCGAGCCTGCGCTCTAGAACCCGGGAGCCACAGCTACAGACGCCCGCACGCCTGCAGCCCGTGCTCTGCAACACAGCCACGCAAAGCCCACGCGCTGCAACTAGAAAGGAGCCCCTGGTCACCGCGACCAGGGAAAAGTGTGCGGCAGTGAAGACCCAGCACAGCCAAAAGCAAACAAATCAATAAAAGTTTTAAAATGCTGCTTGGGTATACCCTACAGTGCAGAGACTCAGCCAATACTTTTCAGTAACTGTGCGTAGAGTGTAACCCTTAAAACTGTGATCACCGTATTGTCCATTTGTAACGTAAAATATTATGTATCAACTATACTTCCATTTTTTACAAAGATGGAGTTTACATTCAGAGAAGAAAAAATATATGTCAAAACCATGTGAAGATTTTCTGAATACTGAAATACTGTCATTTGTCTTCCAGGTGAAAGAACATGGCTTTCTCATTCAGATGATAGCATCCAATGCTGTGGTTTCCCCATTCACCCACATAAAATGGAACCCAAGAGCCGACGCAGCTGAGGAGATTACAGAGTCCTTACCAGTGAAAGACGTTCAAGGCTACATAGTTTTCAGCGGAAACAAGTAACCACCCGCTTCTCCACAGCATAACAGATTAGAACAGGGGGGAAATGAACGTCACCAACTGTACCCCGGAGGCCAGTGTGGCCGTGAGACCCAAGACCGTCACGGAGAAGATGCTCATTTCCACAACTCTGGCGGTCATCACCGCCCTGACCACGCTGCTAAACTCCGCCGTGATCATGGCCATCTGCAGCACCAAGAAGCTCCACCAGCCTGCCAACTACCTGATCTGCTCTCTCGCCGTGACGGACCTCCTGGTGGCCGTGCTTGTCATGCCCTTGAGCATCATGTACATCGTCATGGACAGCTGGAGGCTGGGGTACTTCATCTGCGAGGTGTGGCTGAGTGTGGACATGACCTGCTGCACCTGCTCCATCCTTCATCTCTGTGTGATCGCCCTGGACAGGTACTGGGCCATCACCAACGCCATCGAGTACGCCAGGAAGAGGACCCCCAGGAGGGCCGGGCTGATGATCCTCACGGTCTGGACCATCTCCGTCTTCATCTCCATGCCCCCGCTGTTCTGGAGGAGCCACCGCCGGCTCAGCCCCCCGCCTAGTCAGTGCACCATCCGGCACGACCACGTCATCTACACCATCTACTCCACGCTGGGGGCATTCTACATTCCCCTGACTCTGATACTGATTCTCTATTACCGGATTTACCATGCAGCCAAGAGCCTTTACCAGAAGAGAGGTTCGAGCCGGCACTTGAGCAACAGAAGCACAGATAGCCAAACTTCGTTCGCCAGTTGTAAGTTGACACAGACGTTCTGCGTGTCTGACTTCTCCACCTCAGACCCTACCGCAGAGTTTGGGAAGATCCACTCCTCCATTAGGATTCCTGCCTTTGACAATGACCTAGAGCACCCAGGAGAGCGCCAGCAAATCTCCAGCACCAGGGAGCGCAAGGCAGCACGGATCCTGGGTCTGATTCTGGGTGCATTCATCTTGTCCTGGCTGCCATTCTTCATCAAAGAGCTGATCGTAGGTTTGAGCACCTATGTCGTGTCCTCCGAGGTGGCCGATTTTTTGACCTGGCTCGGTTATGTGAATTCTCTGATCAACCCTCTGCTCTACACAAGTTTCAATGAAGACTTTAAGCTGGCTTTTAAAAAGCTTATTCGGTGCCGAGAACATAGCTAGAGTGTAAAAACTCAGAGGGCTTGACTTCTAGCAGCCTCGTGAGTGCACGGGGTAAGGGATGCAGCTTATTAATTCTTGAACATGGTTGGTTCAGGAGAGTTTGTGAGTGTGTGTGGTCTTATTTTGTCTTTTTCTCTTTTTCTGTTTTGTTATTTCATGTGCTGTTTTCTACCTCTGGTCTTATTTGTGGTACATAATTTCAAATAAACATTATCAAACAAAAACAAATTTCATAGCAGTAATAATAAGGTGAAATAGTAAATACTTTTTATTTCTTTAGCCATTTCAGTTAACCCAGCAATTAAAGAATGCCAAAATCAATCTTCATTTGCAGAATTCTTTATTACTTATGTATCAAATACATGATGACTTGCCGTGGTGTGTGGCATTAATTCGGAGGTTACGGATCCAAATGCTTAAACACTTCATTGGGTGCATGATAACATAGAGGACTTTTTTAAAGTGGTGCGCTGTCATCTACTGCTTGCAGACCTGACCTGAAGTCATTTCTTATGATTACATGGCGTGCACCTTTCTGTCACAGATGGTATCGCTGGCTCTTAGTGCTCATAGCTCACTGTTAAATAAGCATCTTCATTCTCTAAAAGGAACCTAGAATGAATGTACTAATACTTTCCTAGGCCTTTGACTATGAATGTGAAACATGAGCAAATAATATTATGAAACAATCATCAAAATTGGTCACTTTGTTGTTGACACATTGGTCCTCCTCTAGTTCTCAGAAGCATCACAGCAAAACTTCGAGTACACTCTCCCATTCTAGCAGGATTAAAGCGGGAGGACTGCCAACCTGGAGAGCTTTTAAAGCACCCGTAAGCTACTGCGCCTATTAAGGGTTGTATTCATCAGATGAGGGACTATATTGCCTGAAGGACTTTGCTGAAGAATGTTGCTCATTAAATTACCAGTTGTGCACGTGAAAAAAATAATTAAATATTGAACTCTATGTTTATAGCAGAAACCACCCACCAGGAAGTGAGTATGAAATCGTGTCTCCTGGAATCCCTGTGGCTTCCATGCCAGTCTGCTGCGTGGGGCCAGGAGGCTGCAGGCAGGACCCGAGGCCACGCTGTGTGACCGACCGGGACTGATGGCCCCAGTCCCTCGGAGGAGCTCACCGCTAGGTCGAGAGTGCTGGCAGAAGGGGCTGAGAGTGGGTCAATTCTGGGACATTCCTCAGCCAGTGACCGTTGTAGACCTGGGCCCCTCACCTCTCATCCACACCCTCTCCCACTTCTTCACTGCCCGCAGATTGTGTCTCTCCTTTGCTGAGAAGACATTGGTTCCTCAACCATCTCCACCGCGTGGTTTGCCCCTTAATTCCATCCCCTCCCAACTTTTCTGTAACCTCACCCCTTCCCTCTTTCTCTCCCTCTCTCTCTCGATCTCCTCCCCGCCGCCGCCTCCTCCCCACTCGTCGTTAACCTCAGCCACCAGCTCGCTCGGGTCTTTTCAACACTAGGACGGAAGCCCTCTGGCTGTGGTGCCTCCTCATGCGCTCCTCCACCTCTCTCCTCGTTCTCCCACCTGAGTCTCCTGTTGCCCACCCATTTGTTCTGCCTCCAGCTCCCACCTTCCACTGCCTATTCTCTCTTTTGCCATCTGGGAATGACTGTCCCAATTCCCCCAGAACTGATCTCCCAAAGGCTACAGGTGACTTGCCAATGGGCAAATCTAGTGGCCTTCCCTCTGTCCTTATCTAGCTTCCTGTTCTCATCGGTTCGAAGAGTTAGCCCTCCCTTTCTTGTTGAAGCCCATGCCTTCTACGATCCTTTACTTCCTCATTTCTCTAGCTGCCTTCTAATTCTTTGCCTCCTTTTCTTCATCCTGGGAGTTTATCATCAGCTCTCACTTCCTGTATATTCATACTCCATCCCAACCCCCATCATTTCCACACATAATTCCATGCCTGAGACTCTGAAATGTGCGTCTCTGATCCTGATCTGTCTCTTTCTCACACTATAGACCCATGAATTAAGTCTGGTGGACATCTCCTTGTGAACACTGTCAGTGCCTCGAACACAGCCCTCCTAAACTGAACTAATGATCATGCTCCTGCACTCAACCTTCTCCTTTCTACCTTCTCAGTCTCAGACAGCAGAATTCTGTTTTATTTATTTTGGGGTCTGCACTAGGTCTTCATTATAGCACATGGGCTTTCTCCAGCTGCAGCTCACGGACTTAACTTGCTCCCAGGCCTGTGGGATCTTAGTTCCCTGACCAGAGATTGAACCTGCCTCCCCTGCGTTGGAAGGCAGATTCTTCCCTTATTTTTTGCTTTTGTTTTCCTTCTTCGGCTGTGCTGAGTCTTCACTGCTGTACATGGGCTCTCTCTAGTTGTGGCGAAGGAAGCAGCTCTCCAGTTGCGGTGTGTGGGTCTGCCACTGCCGCGGCCCCTCTTGTTGCAGAGCACGGGCTTCGGGGAGTGTGGCCTTCAGTAGGTGTGGCCCGCGGGCCCAGCAGTTGCAGGTCCCAGGTTCTAGATCACAGGCTCAGCAGTTGTGGTGTGTGGGCTTAGTCCACAGGATCTTCCCGGACTAGGGATTGAACCCATGTCCCCTGCATTGGCAGGCAGATTCCTAACCACTGGATTACTAGGGAAGTCCCAGACAACAAGACTACCATGCAGTTTATCATTCACATTAGATTAATGAGAGTCTCTCTCTTTGTGGTTTGCCTCTCACATCCAGAGAGTATAAAAGTCATATTATTCATTTACCTCTCTGTAGAAATGCTTGTATATGCACCCTCCTCCTTCAATAACGTGGTCCTCTTCCCTGGACCAATCTTCTTATCTGATCCACCTACCTCTGGACTCCTCGTCTGCAACTGTGCCCCTGCTCACCTTCCAGATACGTCTTCCTAGGGAAGTAGTTCTCAAAGCAACGTCTCCAGACCAGCAGTGTTAGTTTCACTTCGAAACTTATTAGAAAAGCAGTCTACGGCCCCACTGAAAACCTACCAAGTCAGAAATTTCAAGGCAAGGGGCATCCATCTCTGTCTTAATAAGCCTTCCAAGAGATTCTGGTGCACGCTAACATTTAAGAATCACTCTCCTAGAATGTCCTGTTGATTTTTAATAACAACACTCAAAATCCCCTACTATTTTCCCATCAATATAAGACAAAGTTCCTAAATATAACGTTCAAGCCTTCTTCACCATGTGGCCTCAAGCCACCTTTCCAAAGCTAAGTCTCAGCACTTCTTCTCATCCACATCATATTTCAGAAAAATCTGGATATTTCCTGTGTTTTCTGAGCTTTCCTAACATTTTGCCCCCACTGCTTCAGGAACCTGATCCCAGAAGTTCCCATCTTTCTTCCCCCAGTCCTTCATCGTGGAATGCAAACACGATCTCTTCCACAGTCTTCCTGAGAAGACCGTCTATCACCATGGACGTCCCCTTTCTGGGGACTAAGCTCCCTGGAACCTTGCTGGGACCACTGTGATAACTGCTTCCTACGTTGTCGTGCCTTTGTTTGTGTGTTTCTGTGTCTGCCCCCAGTAGACTGTGAGCTCCTTGAGGACAGGAATGGTGTCTGTTTTATCTCTGTATCCCTAAGAACTCCTACAGTGTTTTACACACAGTAGGCGCTCAGTAAATATCTGCTAATGTGAATGAAATTATGTCCCCAGAAAAAAAATGTAAGTGTGCGATGTTCTCTCAGTGAGAAAACCAAACTTTAAAAATCTCATGATGCAATACACACTTCCTTTTTCTTTAATATCTACCCTCTCATCCCAACTTTGTTCAAAAACTGCTAGGAATGTGCTTCCACATGAGAATAAAATGAATTTCTCATGCCACTGAACATAAATGAATGTCCTTTATTGGTTAGGAATCAAGCTAAGCTGCTCCCAAAGAGACCCACAAATATGGCAATTTAAGCAAGACAGCTCCTCTTTCATATGACAGTCAGGAGGTAGGAGGGAATGCAGAGTGAGCAGGAAACTGCTCCAGTGTTCTCCAAGGACTTGGGTCTTTACATTTTCTGGCTCTGCCATCCTGTCAAGGCTGGTCCCCGTCCGCATGGCCAAAGCTGACTCCCCATCGCATCCACATTCTAGTCCAAAGAAAAGGGGAGAGAGAAATGGAGAGCAAGCAATTTCCTTTTAAGAAAGTCACATGGAAATTATACATATCACTTTTCCTTGGATTCCATTGGAAATAACTTGGTCACATGGGCTTTCCTGGTGGCTCAGCTGGTAAAGAATCCGCCTGCAATGAGGGAGACCTGGGCTCGATCCCTGGGTTGGGATGATCCCCTGGAGAAGGGAATGGCTACCCACTCCAGTTTTCCAGCCTGGAGAACTCCATGGGCTGTATAGTCCATGAGGTCACAAAGAATTGGACACGACAGAGCTGCTTTCACTTTCACTAGTCACATGGCCACACCAAACTGTAAAAGAGAATTAAGAGAGTGAATTTCTTGTTGGGCAACCATGTGCCTTGCCAAAAATGAGCACTTTGAAATAAAAAGAAGGAGAGAATGGATACCAGGGGCCAATGAGCCACCCCTTCTACAAAAGAATATTGGTTTCTGCATGTGCAGCTCAAATACTACAGGGCAGGCCAGATGGCTGTCCAGCCAGTGGTGATGTGTGTACCATGATGTTGAGGTTAAGTTAGGGGTGATTTAACAAGATTGTGCCTATGCTGAAAATCTAGTATTAGCATGACTGTAATGTCTATAATATCTAGAAACTCTATGGGCAACTTGCTTGCTTTTTTATCACCCTCCATAAGTCCTCATTGAAAATTCTTGGCAATTATGAGTTTAAAACTTTCACGAGTCTAAGTAAATAAAAACACAAAAATTATATGCATAACTAATTTTCACTTACGAACTCATTTCCAGTTTACTAGATAGATCCTAATTAAATATGCTTTCTCATACCTATCTCTGATCTTAGCAAAAAAGAATCCGTGTATGTTTCCTAACATAAATCAAACCTGTTGAAAAAAATCTGTTGTTCGA